ATGGCTTCATCTGATATCGTATCTTTACTTCTTTTTGCACTTCTTAGGTGAAATAATTTATCGAAAAGATGACTTTGCCATGAGAAGTCTAATGTATACGAAAGACATGCATCCCATCTCTTAAAAACAGAATTTCTTCATGTTCACAGTTGTCTGAAAATCTTCCCACCTTAAGAGAATTCTATGTTATATCAGTTAGTCATTTCTTAATAACAAAAGCGCGGTCTTCAGTGAAAAAGATTGAATGATGTAACGATGCAAGAGTAACCAGTTTATTTCAGATTACATTTTCACGAAAAGTAAGATTTACGTCTAGTGAATATCGACTCCTATGTCGATTCATTATACTTATGCTATCTGTCAGTTTCTTAAGACTGAGTAGAGCTGAAGAATCATTTTGGCCGGAAATGGAGAGCATTTACTTCAGACACTCTGCTCTGTTATGATTACGTTGAGAGGTACGTAGCGCAGATGCGAGTTAGTTATGTCATAATGGTGATGCAGATGAGTTAAATAGTTGAAGTAGTTAGCCATTTGTCATGCTAGTAATATTTGGAGTTAAGGGTATAAGTCCGCAGACCGTTTACGACTGTTTCTATTCAGGATTTAATAATTCTAATACCGCAGTTCAAAATATATGAACTTCATACATTCATTGTATCAGGAATTAATATGTTGTGTTTACGAGACGGATGTCTTTGATACCGATTCCCAAGTGCCTGATTTTAGTTTAAATTTGGATGGAACCGCTTATGAAAACTCAAGCGCTTCCCCTTGCTTCATCTAATCGCCTGATATTATAGGATAGCTCATGGATGAGTTTTACACCTCTTTTACCTGCTACTCTCAGCGAAGGGATTGACCTCGAAAGCTGCAATGATAGTAACATAGATTGTTATGTATTGCATGAACTTAGGTTGATACTACCCAAAACTAAAGCAGGATGTCGATTGTGCTCACCCCCTTAATCGAGTCACCTAAGGAAAACCTTCAACCCTTTGCGTAATAAAGGGACAATAAAAGCGACCATAAATATACAGAAATTTACTCCATTCATTGTCCGAAAAAGTGTTGTTGCTTGTGTATTGCTTTCTGGAAATTTTTGTCCTTTGCTGTAGGTAACGCCAAAATAAGAGAAAAAAGATTCGCTGTCAGAAACTTCATCCTCAGGTAGATCACAAATAGATGAATAGATAAGTAGGCTAGTTAAACAGCCTGTCAATGTTGCTTCTGAATTAGTGTAATAAACAAATACTCGAGATAAAGAATAAGGTTTTTTTTATCAATTGAGTCGATAGTATAAATTCGTCGCAATAAAATATTTTAAAGCTGACGTTTTGAGCTTTAGCTTTCCTTCAACTCAGTAAAGATTTCCGGATATCTCATTTCTCATTCGCCTAAATTTTTCTTACCCAACTCATTCCAGTTACCTGCCCCCCTCCCCACTACCCTTCCCACCGTTTAATATATAATAAGCTATTTTAAATAAATATTTTTAACATTTCTACTTCTTACCTTCGAACTGGCGAGAGTTATGTTGGATACTTACACCATAAAATACTCAAAACCTTGCGTTAAAACCAAACACTTTGCCTCTTCCCGTGCGACTGTCGAAATAGCTTTGAAGAAAAAATTTGCCGAAGACTTCACAGCTGAGATCGCAAATATCTGATGACTTTCCATCAATTTTCGACTAACATGCATTTTTCCTTCTTTTGTTAAGAGGGGTACAAAGGATCTGAAAATGAACGTGCGATTCTTTCTGGGTGGTAACCATGTATAATCGAGAGTTCATCATAAAGATAATAAACATTATGAGACAGACTAGTGTGTCTTTGTCTTGAGCAAATTAGACTTGAAAAGTGCGAATCAATAGTCCCATTTACAGTTGTGGGCTTGGCGGCCAAACCTTTGAACAGGAGTGAGGCTATGGGTGACCCTGTTGAGATAGAGACCATCATTACAAGATATATATTTAAAGGTATAGATTCAAGGTATTTATAATAGACGCGAAAAGGTGTTGAGTAACTGACGATCTCTCAATTTTAACTGTAGACGGCTGGTCTTAATGGTAGCTGCTTTGATAGCTCCCAATGTGCGGTTAATAGTTATTTAAGGTAAAGAATTAACTCGAAAAGGTGTCGAGTAACTGACGATCTCTCAATTTTAACTGGAGACGGCTGGTAGCTGCCTTGATAGCTCCCAATGTGTGGTTAATAGTTATTTAAGGTAAAGCATTAATTTGTAATAGTTCGGAGATTTTTAAAATTGAAACTATTAAACTAATTGAAAATATTGCATTTGTTTAATCTTCTGCAATGGTTCCGTCTGGAAAAGCGTGCCGGCTTAATGGTCATTGCGCCCTAGACATCCTACAGGTGTGTAAATGGGTGGAGGCGAATTTAAAACGAGGAGTAACCGTGTGATGGACTAGCATCCCATCCAGGGGGAAGGGAGAGTACAAATATGTCGTCGCTTAGGCTGTATGGGCTACTGGCCTGACGCAGACTTTTTTTAATTCTATTACGTGCACATCTCCATGAACACTGCTGGTAAGTTTTTTTTTTTGATTTTNCAATTTTAACTGTAGACGGCTGGTCTTAATGGTAGCTGCTTTGATAGCTCCCAATGTGCGGTTAATAGTTATTTAAGGTAAAGTATTAATTTGTAATAGTTCGGAGATTTTTAAACTAATTGGAAATATTGCATTTGTTTAATCTTCTGCAATGATTCCGGCTGGAAAAGCGCGCAGGCCTAATGGTCATGGCGCCCTGGCTAGACATCCTATAGGTGTGTAAATGGGTGGAGGCGAATTTAAAACGGGGAGTAACCATGTGATGGACTAGCACGTCTAGCACCCCATCCAGGAGAAAGGGAAAGTAGAAATAGTTCGTCGCTTAGGCTGTATGGGCTACTGGCCTGACGCAGACTTTTTTTAATTCTATTACGTGCACATCTCCATGAACACTGCTGGTAAGTTTTTTTTTTTGATTTTTCGGGACCCTCAGAGAAAATTTTCGTATTAAATTATCAATTAAGTTTTGAATTTACCATTAATTTTTAATCACCAATGTTCTTATTTATTTATTTATTTACTTTTATTTTTTTTTTCGGTCATTCTGGGAATTCCGGGAATTCCAGGTACTCTGGGTATTCCAAGTATTCCGGTTCCGGTTCCGAATTCCAGCATTCTATATTTTCCAAACTACCTGATTCACGCTCTTCTTATGTATGTGAGGCTACTCACATGACTGTCCCGGCACGAGTGAAGAAAAAGGTATGCAAGAAACTTAACACCTTGAAAATAACCTTTCAAGAAAGGGGCAAAGTAAGCATTCACCGAATCAAACAACTTGAACTGCGGAGAACTCGAGAAGGCGAACAGATCAAACAATAACTTCTACGTAAACATGTTACTATCAGGTTAACAATTAACAGTTAACATCTGGTGTTAAACTTTAATTGGAACAGTACACATAGCTTCCTATGAACAGATCGAAACAAAGGCCGGCCAAATGAACATTTGCTCTAGATCAAGTGGGCCAACCAAACCTCTTCTTTAGGTAGAAAGAATATGGAAGGAAGAAATGCACAGGCGAGAAGCAGGCGTTATCTTCAGTCTTCTTCCGCGCCGGTTAATAATTATCCTGATCGTGTGTCGGATTAACCTCAAGAGAAGGATGGCTGCTCGTTTTATTATGCCATGAATTTGCCTAAACAAAGGCTGGTGTTTCGTTTAAGTAATGAAACAAAATTAATACTTTATTGAAATTTTTTGGTTAACAATATACAGGATTAGGTGGCGATGAGAACCTTCAAGTGGTTTTAAGTGGCTTAAAGAAGAGTCTTGCCATTACAAGAAAATCAGTTGTTTGATTTGACAAGAATTCCAATCTTTTTCCGGTTCTTTCCTCCAAAACGGTCGCTCAAAATATGCTCAGAAAGTTAAGAACACGTTTATGACAGATAGAGGACGAGAGAGTTACCATAGCAGTATTAGACTGCTAAGTGACACCACTACTGAGTTTGCCTTTGTCGTGGCCTTTAACCGAAAGTGAATTCGATGATCCTCGTTTTTTCTTTATTTTTAAAATGCAATCATTACATCAATTAAGATACACCCTATTTTTGCAAAGCTTGGGAACGTCTTTGACAAAAGGTGTGGATTAACTTTGATTTTTCAACTGCGCTAATACCGGAGAGGTAAACCTGTGATCCGATTTCATAAAGTCTCTCTTGTCAAAATGGCGCTAGGGCAGTTGAAGTAAGGCCTGAGAGAAAGTTGTCCCGCCTGCCTGGGTTACCCTACCAGCTGAGGTGAGAGAACTCGATCGCCTACCCCAGATTTGTCTCGCTTAGCGTGACGGGTTCACCACCTCATGTAAACGGGCCTCTGAATTTTGTAAAGTGATAAGTGGAAAGTTAGTTTGCCCAGGGTAACTCGGAGGAATGGGTTGTCCCGGCAACTCGTGACCATGTAAACAGGGTCATAGGCGGCCAGACTGCATTCGGATGTCAACTTTGGACATACTGAATAAAAATAAAAAATACCTGACGCAAGAAAAAATATCTGCCAGTTA